TGTTACCCTTTCCCCTTGTCCTCCTTCCCTTCCCCCTCTCTCCACGTGGACCACCAAGAGGGGCTAAGTTGAGCAATGCTACCATGAAATGTGTCTGACTCCATTTTTTAACTCTCTTCTATCTCTCATGCTCTTGATGACTTTACTATAATCTTTACTTATTATCGCTGTACATTTGTGCCTACTGGACCTGTAACGATGTGCTAGGGGCTGGCTTCCCCTTGCAACATCTGATTTAACAGTACCATTCTGGCTGTAAGGAGTCCCAGTGGCCATAGTTAGAAACACATCGAGCTGCTAACCTGCAGGTCAGAGAAAGGTTCAAATCCACTAGCTGCTCTGCTGGAGAAAAATGAGGCTGTTGGCTCTTGTAAAGATTTATAGTCTGGAAACCTAAAGGGACAGTTCTATTCTGTCCTTACAGGGTTACTATCCATCAGAATCCACTCAATAACAATGAGTTTCATTGTTTTTCTTTTTATTCTGGCAGTTGGGTTGAGAATAAAATCAGGTGGAGATGTGGAGGCTAGAGCAGGAGCTCTCCTGTGTGCTTATCTATCTTCTGAAAGCTATTTGTAGCTAACCCATTTCCTGGCGGAAACAGGGGCCAGAGGTCACTGTGGTGTTTTTGTCCCTTTGGAAATGAGAACACCCAACAGACTAGAAATCCTTGTGTTCCTAGTTGGAGAATCCCTCCAACCCCAGCCCCCGCCTAAGCCATAATAATTACATAAAAATGAGACATGACACCATATTATTCTGTGTATTTGTGGAGGGTCAAGCGCAAGCTCATCGTTGACCTGTACAAGATCATCATTCTCATCTCCTACAGTAGGATTCCAGACATCTAGAACCTGGGGTCTCTAGACTCTTGAGGTCCCAGCCATGTGTCAGAATCTAATACAGGCTGGTAGCCCTTGGATGTGAACCTGCACCAGGAAGGCAGAAGAACCTTTCCTGCAATGTCAAGAGCCACCCAGCTCCACCTGCTCGTCTAAGGGGTGAAGTGGGAATAGATCCTCCCAGCTTCTGGTGTGTGTCCAGGTAGAATTAATTAGGTGTTTTGATTTTTAATTATAGGATTCTTTTTTTTTTTAACTTTTTTTCATGATTTAAAACATTACAGAGTAAATTGGTTTTCCATTCAACAATTCATACATTGATGCAGTCCCCAAGATATACCAGCCTTCTTCCCACTTCCGCCCTCCTTGTGTTTTTGTATTACTCATCCTTCTTTCCTGTCCCTTCTTGCGGTCAGCAGTTTTTATCCATAAGCAAATGCTGTCTATTTGATTTTGTACGGTTGATTTTCCAGGGAGTGTATGCCATTCTTGGGTGTTATTCTTCCCCTCTGAGCCTGTGTATTGTTGGGCTAAAAGCTGAGTCAGAGGATTAATTACAGGATTTTTATGAGCTGAGAGGTTCAAACGTATTGTCTTCCTTAGATCTAATTCACTTTGAAATCTAGGTGTCCGGGTTTAGATTTATTTTCAAGTCAGGAATCCCTATATTTTTATTTTTATCAGAATGACTTGCCAAGTTCCTTGTCTATTTGGTGGAGTTCGGGGGCGTGGGGACAGGGAATGTGTTCTGAAAAAATGTTATTATCTAGGGAATATAAAGAGAGGTGTTTCCTGATCTGTAGAGAACATACGCAAAATAGGGACCTCGGTCTCAGAACCCTGGGGAACCCAGCTTTCTTTCCTTTTCCTTTTTCTAGGTAAGGGAAATCTTCCAGAAGTCACCTTTCCTGGTACCAGATGACAGTGTTAGCATCATGGACGGAGCCTATGAAGGTAGGAGAGGTGTTGCTATCTTTTCTTTGGGGAGAGGGACAAGGTCAATGAAAGATCTGACTATGGGAACTGGGAGCAGGGATGGGCTTTGAAGAAATAGGAGCTAAGAAGGAGTAGCAAACCAGAGGAAGGAATGGAATAGCAGGAAGTGGAAGGGTGAGAGGGGCGTTTTATAGTCTAGACCTGAAATCTAGAGAAAGAACGAAGATGGGGCCAGGGAAGGGGAAAATATACTGTGGGGATATAATCCTTTTCTCCTCTTTTTCAGGAATATTAGCCTGGGTTTCTGTGAATTTTCTGACAGGTAAATACATTGCCAAGTTTATCTTAAGACCTTGGCAGGGTTTCACAACATTGTCAGGAGAGGGAGAAAAGATCCCTTTCTTGTCTGTGCTGTTCTTTCATTTTAAAAAAAAACAGAGGCAGGAAGCTATTGTTGCATCCTGTCTTCAAGGCTTTGGCTGCAGTGAGAGCCCTCTGAGGCTGCCCTCCAGCAGCAGGCCTCCGGGGAGGGAAGTGGCATTTATGGAATCCCTCCAGTATGTGGCCCGGAGCAGGAGGGGAGGTGCAGACAGTGTGGGGCTGTCCAAGATGTAGATGGTGTTCAGAGTGGGATCTCATTCACAGGGCAGCTGCATGGCCACAACCAGGAGACTGTGGGGACCCTGGACCTCGGGGGCGCTTCCACACAAATCACTTTCCTGCCGCAGTTTGAGGTGAGTCATTTATATGTAGGTCTGGTGTGCAACACATGTGTAGACATTTAATGGTACCTGGAAGATGGCACCCCATTTTCAGAAAGTAGACTGAGGAGAATGATCAGATGATCAGGTGGGGGCCCCCTTGCAGTTCGGAGTCCTGGTGATTCTTCAAACCTTGTGGGAATACTAGTTTAATCTGTGTCCTTCATCTCTGGTTAACATCTTCAGATAATTGCGGTCCTGAATAGTCTTTTGCTTTGTTTGATTTTCAGAAAACTCTGGAACAAACCCCTAGGGGCTACCTCACTTCCTTTGAGATGTTTAACAGCACGTATAAGCTCTATACACATAGGTAAGGAAGGGGACAGGGAAAAGGAATAATATTTTGTGTTGGATGAGTCGCCTGACTTTTCAAAGTATTTTCATATTTATCAGCCTTACAAAGCTTTGCCAAACCCTTAAGGCCTAGCAACTGACATCTAAACTGCTTACTAAATCCAGTTGACCCAAGAGGTTCCTCTGTTCCTGGCCTGAGAATTATATAACTTAAGAGTCAAATGTTCTCTAAAGGGAGGGCTCCTTGAGAAGTCTTAGGTGACAAGTCCTGTGAACTGGCCTTCCGATGCTCACAAGTTAGCCTGGCATACGATCCCAGCCGGGTTGAGTGCTAAAATAATGTCTGCAGGTTTTCTGTAGCTGGTTCCCAGGTTGGGACTGTAGGAACTGCCACTGTCTTCTGACCTTGACATAGCAGCGGGAAGTTCTTTCTGCACAGCCTGGGTTTGTTTAGAAATTGTGTCATGTTGATCACATGAGATGAAATCGGTCACAGAGCAGAACTCCCTTCCCGAGGCAGACAAAATCGTTGTATTGCTATAAATACCATGCTACTTTTGAAAGAATTAGCGTTGGGCTGGAGGCCTTTAGAAACAGCATGCAATGAGTAAATCCTGTATTTTACAGTTACTTGGGATTTGGATTGAAAGCTGCAAGACTGGCAACCCTGGGAGCCCTGGAGACAGAAGGTTGGTCTGGGACCTGTGCTGGGTTGGGGATGGTCAGAGTGACACTGACACTGCCAACAACTTTTCCCTTCCTTGGCAATGATAGAAACCCTAGTAGTGCAGTAGCTAAAGCACTTGGCTGCTAACCAAAAGGTCATTAGTTTGGTCCCACCCGCTGCTTCTGTAAAGGGTACAGCCTTGGAAAACCTTATAGGACACTTTAACTCTCTCCCATGGGGTCAGAATGGCCTCAGGGACGATGGGTTTGGTTTGGGCAATGGTCCTCCTTATAAAGGAAAGAATTTTGTGGAACTGGGAAGTGTGCATTGTATAGTCTTTGAAGTCCAGGTGTTTGGGTTTACATTATTAGCACCATCAGCATCCTAAAGTAGCAGCAGGAACTCCAGCCTTAAAGTCAATTGGCAGGAGCTTGCTCAGGTCCTTCCATGTTCACTTGACATGGTGCAGGAAGCAGGGTCTGAAGGTGGAGTAACTGAGCAACTTCATTTATCAACTCACGGTTGAAAGATGGGTGAAGAACTCAGCTTATGGGGTCAGGAAGAACTGAGGCTAGTCCTAATTTTTTGTAATTTAAGCCAAAGTTACTTATCTTTCTGTATCCCTTTAACTATATTTCGCATTAAATGCTGCTGGTACAACCCCAGGATTTTATATCACGGTCATTTTTGTTGTGATGCATAGTGGCCTGTCCTGCACCACCTTAACAATTGTTGCTATGCTGCAGTCACTGTCAGTCCGTCTTGTTGAGGGACTACTTGCTCTTATTTGCTGCTCCTCTACTCTACCAGGGGGAGCCTTGGTGGTGTAGTGGTTATGAGTTGGGCTGCCAACCTCAGGGTATACAATTTGAAGCCATCAGCCAGCCTGTGGGAGAAAGACAGGCTTTCTACTCCCATAAAGTTACAGGCTCAGAAACCCGCAAGGGCAGTTCTGCTGCCATGTCCGAAGTACTAGAGATGAAAACTTGCTGTCTTTGCTTCTAAGGAGCATTTGGGGTGTACTTCTTCTAAGAAATATGTGTTCATTCTGGAAATCCATGGTATTCACTATTTTTTGCCGACACCATAATTCAAAGTCAGCCATTCTTCAGTGTTTCTTATTCATTGTCCAGCTTTCCCATGCATGTATGCCTAAAAATACCATGGTTGAATCAGTGTACCTTCGTCCTCAAAATGATGTCTTTGCTTTGGAACACTTTAAAGAAGAATATTCCGCAGTAGATTTGCTTAGTGCAATGCACTGTTTAATTCCTTGACTGCAAGTGGGTTGTGAATCCAAGTAAAACGAGATCCTTGACCACCAGTCTTTGTTCGTGTGCCAATGCTGCTTAATGGTCTGCTTGTGAGGGGTTTCGTTGTTGTTGCTGAGGTAATCCAGACAAAAGGCTGTATGTTTTATCTTTATCAGTAAGTACTTCAAGTCCTCTTCTCTTTCAGCAAGCAAGGTTGTGTCATGTGCTTATCAAAGGCTGATCATGAGTCTTCCTCTAATCCTGATGTTTTTAAAAAATCATTTTATTGGGGGCTCGTACAACTCTTATCACAATGCATATAATCCTGATGCTTTGATCTTCTTTATATAGTACAACTTTTCATGTAAAATGATATAACCTGACACAAACCTTTCCTCATTTTCAAGCATCTGCTGCTTGGTCTATATACGGGTACCATATGAGCACCACTATATATCCTGGATTTTTCATTCTTTCTAATGTTATTTGTAATTTGTTATGAACCACAGTCATATGCCTTTGCATAGCCAGAAAACACAGGCAAACAACTTTATGATAGCCTTTGCTTCAACCAAGGTCCTCTGACGTCACAGGGTACCCTTTGTCTCATGTCCCCATCTAAGTCCAACTTGAATATCCGAGAGCTCCTTGTTGATCAGCGGCTGCAGCTGTTTGGGAATTGTCTTTACTACAGCTTTACTTGCATGTAATATTAATAATGTTGTTTGATAATTTCCAAATTCTGTTAGACCACCTTTCTTTAGAATGGACAGAAATAGGAGCTTCTTCCAGTTGGTTGAAATGTCTAAAAAAAAAAAAAAGGAAATGTCTCAATTGGTATTCCGTCAGTTCCTGGAGTCTTGCATTTCAACAGTGCCTTTCTCCCTTCAGTACTACCAGTTCGTTTTAAAACATTTTATTGAGGGCTCTTACAGCTCTTGTAACAATCCACACATCAGTTGCATTAAGCACATTTGTACATATGTTGCCATCATTTTCTAGATATTTACTTTTTATTGCACCCTTGGTGTCAGCTCTTTATCACATGCTACCTGCTGTGATGGTTGAACACCAACCATTTTTTCCTGGTTCAATGATTATGTATTCCCTCTGTCTTTTATTTTTTACTTATTTGTTATTATTTGCCCATAGAATCCTTCAGTATTGCAACTCAAGGCTTGAATTTATTCTTCAGCCCTTTCAGTTTTAGAAATGCCACGTGTGCCTTTCCTTTTGGCTTTATTTCAGGTCTTTGTGCATTTTGTTCTCATATTTTGTCTTCTCAAGCCACCCTATGAAGGCTTCTGTTCAGCTCTTGACCCTTTCTTCTTTCCACTTAGCTTCGCTGTGTTCCAGAGCAAGTTTCAATGGATTGTGCTCGTCTTTCTAATGACTTCTTGGTTTCTTTATGATGTTTTTGATGTCATCCAACAATTCATATTTAGCCATTTAAGTAAAATGTATCAAACTTACCATTAGTACAGTAAAATTCTATCCCATGATCTTCCCATATTATTTCTATCACCAAGGCCATTTTCCAACTACTGATCCTTTTTATTACCAACTTTCACATTCCAATCACCAGTAATTACCAATACATCTTGATTGCATGTTTGGTCCATGTCAGACTACAGAATTTGGTTGAAATTTTCATTTCCTCATTTTTGGCATTAGTGAATGGTGTATAAATTTGAACACTAGGTATATTAACTGGTCTTTCTTGTAATAGGTGGATATTTTCGTATCACCAAGAGCGTTGCATTTCAGGATGGTTCTTGAAGTGTTCTTTCTGAGGATGAATGTAATGCTTTTCCTCTTGAATGCATCATTTCCAGTATATTGACTGCCTGATTCAAAATGGCCAGTGCTAGTCCATTTCAGTTCACTTATGCCTAAGTTATCATTCTTTATGCATTCTATTTCATTTTTGACAACTTAAAACTTTCCTAGATTCATACTCTGTGGATTCTACATTTTGATTACTAATGGACGTTTGCAGTTGTTTCTTCCCATTTTGTGCCATGAGATAGCCGTGCTGTATCCAAGTCATTCAGGTGGACTCAACTTTGAGGAGACTGCTCTTCCCCACAGTCTTATTTTGTGACTTCCAACCTGAGGGGCTCATCTTCTGGCACTGTATCCGCAGTGCTCTACTGCTATCAGTAAGGTTGTCAGTGACCAAGTTTTTCAGAAGGAGACCGCCAAGTCCTTCTTCTTAGTCTGGAAGCTCAGATGAAACCTGTCACCATGGGTGAGCCTGCTGGTATTTGAAATACTGGTGATGTTTCTTGCAGCAGCTCAGCAACCTACATTACAACAAACGTACAGACGACTGGTGGCTGACATAGTATGCTACTATTATGATGATATAAAGCATCTTCAGGTGTATTTCATTTAAGTCTCCCAACAACCACTGAGGGAGAATGAGTATTTTTTTCCCCAATTAATTTATTCCATTGTGGGTCTTAGATTTTTTTTGAGACTGTGATGATAGCTATGGACCCCTTGCCAAATGCACATAGACACAAAAATCTGCCGAGAGTTTTGGGGATTCACCAGCCCATAACACCCACTGTGAGCCCTGAATTCAGAATTGTCAGAGGATATAGCCCACTTGATTCATTTCATAAGAATGTAAGGCCTCACCACTTTTGTGATTCCTTCAAGCCCTAGTGGGTTCTTACTTGCCCCTCACATCTTCATTTCATAGTAATTTGTAATCTGGGTTCTTCCAGCAAAGGATGGACAGACTTTCCGAAGTGCCTGCCTTCCAAGATGGCTGGAAGCGGAATGGATCTTTGGGGGCGTGAAATACCAGTATGGTGGCAACCAAGAAGGCAAGTGATGCTTTTTAACTGGTTGAAATGACCTTGACAGTAAAAGTTCAGGAAGAGTCTCTTAAGAATTTTTTCCCAGAGCTCAATAAAAGTATGTCATATTGCAGGGACTTGTTCTAAATATATCTTAATGTATTTCCAATGAATGAGTGAAGGAACAGTGAACAAGGTGCGTGCTGCACTCTTCCGAGTTTCGTGCCGTGGGTCTGTTCAGAAACCTGTTCTTACCCTAAGCCTGATACATGGAATGGTTTCTGCCCCCCAAGTAAGCTAAAACCACTTCAGGTTAATGTTTAGCTATTTACAGCATAGTGAGGCCATAAAGAATGTCTTGGGTATAGTAAAGACGTAGACCTTGAAATCAAGGAAGAAATGTGATTTCCTAGTGAAGGAGCCAGGTGAACCCTCTGAATATGTGCTATTAAATACATGCCAAAAAATGTGTGCTATTAAAATGTCATACTAGATGCAGCAGTTCAAGCTCAGCTATGGCTGTTTGTGTTGAATGCAAGTTAAGGAGGACGCTGTCAGCAGTGAGGCTACAAAAGTTGCTCATCTTCATTGCTTGAGCCTCTTCTACTCTACTTGATCTTACTGTTGGCTAAATTTGTCCCCTATGATTTCCTCACCTTACCCTTGTGCACCTTTGCCCCAGCAGGGGAGATGGGCTTTGAGCCCTGCTATGCCGAAGTACAGAGAGTGGTACAAGGAAAACTTCACCAGCCAGAGGAGATCCAGAGAAGCTCCTTCTATGCATTCTCGTACTATTACGATCGAGCTGTTGACACAGAGATGATTGGTAAGTTGACTGCAGGCATCAGTCCAGACTGGACATTGGCCAGGGCAGCAGCAGGGGAAGGGAAGGGAGGAGAGGTGTTTGAAATGCTCTATTGGGAGATGCTCTTCCCCAGCAATGATTACTGGAATGCACCAGCCACACCAAGTGGAAATAAATGGAACGTAATTTTGAATCTTTTGGAGCTAGACAATGACCGAAATAACTATGCTTTGTCTCTTTTTAAAAAAAATCTTTAGTGAGGCTTACCTGACTTAGCAGTAGAATGCACTCATTGAAAGGATAAACGGCCGAGTTTAACATGCATATCTGCTCTGCAGCCATCATCACATTCAAGAGAATGGACATGTGTCACCCCCACAATGTTCTTCCTGCCTCTTTGTTGTAACATTTCCCTATCACAGAAGCGATCGCTTTGTGTAGATGTGCATGGTCTTCCAGGGCATGAGAGAGAAATTCATTTCCTGTTCCTAGTGTGCTGAGGAGCCCTGGTGGCACAGTGGTTATGTGTTGGGCTGTGATCCTCAAGGTTGGTAGTTTGGAAAACACCAGCCACTCTGCAGGAGAAAGACTTGGCTTTCTACTCCCGTAAACAGTTACAGTCACAGAGCAGTTCTACCGTGTCCTAGTCGGTCGTCGCTGTGAGTCGGCACTGACTTGATGGCAGTGCGTCTGGAGTTTTCTTGGAGTGCATGCTTGCTTCTCCTATACTGCCTGTGGTTTGGGCATTTAAAGTCTTGTGCTGTATCATTTAGTGCATAATGTAATAGAAAACAGATCTTTGTTGTGGATTGCATCTACTTCATTCAAAAACACCTCTCTAGTTTTATGGTGACTGATTTTAAATGCCATTTTTGTTTAGAACAGTTTTTGATGAAGGTAAAACTAATTAAAATATACATATGTATTTATGCATACACACAGAAAAACAAAGAACCAAACATCCAGAATGGTCCTTAGGCATACATTATGGTTTAAACAAGTTATGATTCAGTAATAACTAGAACTTCCAATATTTAGAAAAGCTATTTTGTAATGCAGAGGAAATAATATACCATGGTATCAAATGTTCTTTTCTGATAAATGAAGCAACTACTGAAAGCTTTATTTGTTCAAAGTAACCAGTGCTGTTTATACAACAAAATAACCCCAACAACTCCCCCAGTACTACTCCAAAAAAACATATCAAACTTGATTTCCATTAGAATGTAGTTATTCTTCTAATAATTCAAAACAGAAACAAAAAAACCCAAGACCCAAATTTTATATATATATATAAATATATATAAAAATCACTGCAAACAATTATTGAGTTTGGTCTTCTGGACAAGAATGCCAAGTGAGTCTCTCTTCATAAAACGCAACGACAATCTGAGGGCATTTCATGTTTGCCTCTTGTCAACACCAAGTCTGCCTCATCTGAATCTTTCCATTTCCTGAGAAACAGCAACTCCCCACTGCTGTCTGTAGCACCAATTATTCGTTCAGGATCAGGACCTCTGGCAAAGCCCCTTGGTTTGTCAACAGCATCTCTTTTCTTCTTTGATTTGCTGTCATCAGATTCACTGTCAGATAAAGACTTTCTTTTCGTACCATCTTTTTCTTTACCAGCTTTTTGAGAGTTGAGAAATGCTTCAATTAATTCTGGACAATCTAAATTTTCTTCAGGTTCCAAGTATTATCAGCATCTGTAAATCCCTTCCATTTTAAGAAATATTCCACCTTCCCATTCACAACACGCCGGTCCAGAACTTTTTCTACCACAAATTCTTCAGGTTCAGCCTCTTCAACTTTTTTACTCTTTCGATTCTGTTTCTTTCCCATTTTTTGCATGTAGTTTTATTGGAGGCCATTTTTTATTGCAGACTTGAAGAGCTATTATTCACCGCCTCCGAGCTGCTCCGGGTCGCGGGTCTGCAGTGTCTCGGGCCCTGCGCACCTTCTTACCTCTATATTAATGAGGCAGGATTAGCAGTTGGAGTAAGAAAGCACGAAGGCTCTGTCCAATTCTAAAAAAAAAGTGTTTGCAGGAGCGGCTTATGCTAAGATCCTTTTTTGCTTTCTTTTAAATATCTGTGGCCTGAAGACTTGAGCCTGGCACCCCACTGACGCAGCTTCTATCTGAAAGGTCAGTCGCTGGAGCCCACCAGGCACTCGGCAGGATAAAGGTGTGGCATCTGCTTCCCTAAAGATAACAGCCTTGGAAACCTTTCAGGGCAAGTCTACTGTATCCCCAATGGTCACTCAAAATTAGAATTTACTCACTGGCATTGGGTTAGTTAGGTGGGTTATATACTTGCGTGACAATTTGTTCCACTTAAAAATTCTTCTCTGGAAAGGTGAGGGAGGGAGGGAGGGGAAAACTGAGGAGCTGATACCAAGGGCTCAAGTAGAAAGCAAATGTTTTGAGAATGATGGCAACAAATGTACAAATGTGCCTGACATGATGGATGGATGGATTGTGATGAGTTGTATGAGCCCCCAATAAAATGATTTTAAAAAAGATTTTCCCTCTGAGGACTCTGTAGGCATTGCTCACTATCTTGTGTTAAGAAGCGATTGAGCATGGCCTGATATGTTTACTCTCATCGGTGACTTGTTCATTCTTATCTTTGAACTCAAGAACTTTATGTGTGACCAACCACGATGTGACAGTCAGCTTCTGTAAGGACTTGTGCACCTGGAAGGACTGTCTCAGGGGTTCCTGTGAGTCCGACTCTGTTCCGTGGCACTGGGTTCTGAGTTGAGGATGATTTGTGTCCATTTTACCTGGGTCTTCATAATACCTGCCTTCAAGCGGAAGCTTCTGGTCTTTCACTTTTAGAACGTTGTTTTGAATTATTTTTCTTTTATTTATATTCTTTTAATTAATTTTAACTCTTTTCCATTTTAGTTGGCTTACTTTTATTGTCTTCCATGTCTGCCTGTGTTAGCAGATTTTGTCCTGTCTCCCACCCCACTACCCTTCTTTTGTGGCTTTCACTTCTATGATGTTTTTGGTTTCTTCCCCTTGCTGTTTCTTTCTTAAGATCTGTCTTGAGCTCCTTAAAGAAACTAAGGGAATTCTTATTCTATTATTTTTTGCTTATATGTATTATTTTTCATCATTTTATTGGGAGGCTCTTACAAATCTTACAACAACGCATCATTCATTTGTATTAACCACATTTGTACATATGTTGCCATCAACATTTTCCAAACATTTTTTTACTTGAGTCCTTGGTATCAGCTCCTCTTTTTTCCCCTCCCATGGGAGCACTTTTTAAAAATTATTATTTTTAATTTTATTTGTTGGGGGCTTTTATCACAATCCATACATATATCTACTGTGTCAAACACATCTGTACATGTTATCTTTTTAAAAACCTTTTGCTTTCTACTTGAGCTCTATCAGTTCCTCTTTTTTAAATTTCCCTCCCCCCTCTACCTTCCCTCCCCAATGAACCCTTGATAATTTATAAAAAATTTTTTTCATGTCTTATACTGATGGCTGTCTCCCTTCACCCACTTTCTGTTGTCTGTCCCCCTGGGAGGTGGGCCATACATCAATTATTGTGATCAGTTCCCCCTTCCCTTCCCTTCCCCTCCCCTCCTAGTATTGCCATTCCTCTTATTGGTCTGTCCTGAATTCCCTGTGTTTCTGAGTTCTTATCTGTACCAGTATACATGTTCTGGTCTAGCCAGATTTGTAAGGTAGATTTGGGATCAAGATGGTGTGTGTGTGGGGGGAGCATTAAAGAACTAGAGGAAGGTTGTGTGTTTCACCTGTGCTACACTGCACCCTGACTAGCTCGTCTCTTCCTTGTGGCCTTTCTGACAGGGGTGTCCAATTAACTATCAATTCACATTGATAAGATTTTTGTTTTGGGTCTTCAATGCCTGATACCTGATCCCATTGACACCTCATGATCACAAAGGCTGGTGTGCGTCTTCCACGTGGACTTTGCTGCTTCTCAGCTAGATGGCCACTTGATTATCTTCAAGCCTTTAAGACCCCAGACGCTATATCTTTTGACAGCCGGGCACCATCAGCTTTCCTCACCACATTTGCTTATGCACCCGTTTTGTCTTCAGCGATGCTGTCAGGGAAGGTGGGGGAGCACTTATTTTAAAGGGGCTTTTAAATTTTATTTTGTAATTTATTTCTGCTTTTTTATTTGCAAATGATCAAACCTACAGGAATATGGAAAGATAATATCTTTCTCTGGGGACTTTGTAGGCTTTGAACACTGATATCCTTATCCTAAGTTTACCAATTGTTCATATTTTTTCCCATCTGTGCTTTGCCTCTTCTGAAAGAGGCATTCACTTGTCTTTCAAATTCTAATTAAATCCAAATTCTGCTGAAAGAATGTTTCTTCAGATTTTGGGATTACCATGAGCCTGGATTTTTATCTGTTCCTTCAGTGGTAGGAGAGGTGAGGCAGGTTGAGCTAACAGTTGGTGGAGGAGAAACTGGACTATGAGCAAGCTGGCTGCCCCGTCTGTTGGTCGGGATAGAAAAACGAAATTGTATGCACTTAAGCACAGCCCTGTGTCATTTGCATTGCTGTGACCCAGACCAGGGCCTGGCCCCACCCCCGTGTAACCGTCCTATAAACAGTAGGCCCTGAAAGAACATGCATCTTTTCATCTGAGTAATGATGGAAGTAACAGTGAAGCACAGGTAGGAAATGTACAGATTCTACAAGAAGAAGGAAAGCACAGGACAGCAAAAGAACACACCAGAGAATACGCTCCATGGTCTCCTATCTACCATCCGCCGGCAGGGCTGCGTCCCTTGTATTGTATGGGCGGGTCGTGTTTGCTTCGACCCCTCCCAATGCTGGAAATTTTATTTCTGGGTGTTTTCATTATTAATCCCTCCAGGATCACTCTCCATCGTTCCCTTCCAGGCATTTTGATAATCAGTTACTGTTCTTTTCATTTTCAGATTATGAAAAAGGGGGCATTTTAAAAGTTGAAGATTTTGGACAAAAGGCCAGGGAAGGTAAGTGTCAGCGGAAGCCCTCATAGGTGAGCCTGTGAGGCTGTGCCCGCCAACTCCAACCAGCCCACTCCGCTGCCGGCACAGGGAGTCTGACTCAGAGCTCTGCTAGGCAGTCTGAGACTATAGCGCTTTACCAGCACAGCCTCAAATTTCCCCCTCAGAGTGGCTGATGGGTTTGGAGCATTGTGGTTAGTAGTCCAACAGCACCATGGGGGCTTCCTGCCTGCCAACCTCAGTGAACCCTAAAGGGACCAAGTGGGTGACAGCCAGCTCAGCAAGGCTCTCAGAAGGCTGGTAGCCCCCAAGTTTTCCAGTCTTCACCTGGAGCTAGAAGCATTCAGTGGCATAAGATCTGGGCAAGAATGTGGGGATGGTAATAAGAGGCTGTGGGGAAAGAGTGAATACCTTTTGTTTCTGTCTACAGTTCCTTTTCCATCCTTCCTTTCTTAAAAAAAATAAACCATAATAATGAAATAGTGAGCACCGAAAACATGGACACCAGCCAGCCACAGATGCTTCTTTGAAAGAGTCAGTCGACCTGAATCTGTGTTCTTAGCCAGTGGCTTCAATGTCAGGGCAACTACTATATCCTTTCCTTTTGGGGCTCAGCATTAATTACAGATAGGGAACTTAGAACTAAGGCTATAGAGGTTTACCAGATACACTAGGATGCATGTAAATATGTGAGGGTAAGCTGCAATAGTCTGTCTGTACAGTTCTAGCCTTTAAGAGGGAGGCCACAGCATCCACCAAATGGAGAATCTGCTTTGCTTATTTTAAATGTGTATTTACCCGACTCAACTTTCAGCAAAACAAGAGACAGGTCTATCAAGGATCACAGCACCAGGGTGGTAGCATTCCTTAGGACAGTCAACCATGGAGCAGGGGGCGGACAGCACTTGCCAGGGATCAAGCTCAGAAGGCAGGGCTAGGAGAGGAGGAGGAATGGGAACTGAACAGGGAGGAAGTGGATAGAGTGCTCCCATATTGTAGGGATCATAAGCAATGCCATGAATCAAACTATATGAACTGAATGGAAAACCAATTTGCTCTCTAAACTTTTACCAAATTTATAATAGTTTTTTTTTTTTTTTAAATACCTATTTAGAGGAAATTACACACCGAGTTATAAACCTGAATCCCACTGTTGTCTCACTTTCAGTGTGTGATAACTTAGAAAACTTCACTTCAGGGAGTCCCTTTCTGTGCATGGATCTCAGTTACATCACGGCCTTGTTAAAGGATGGCTTTGGCTTTGCAGACAGCACTGTGTTACAGGTAAGAAAGAGGACGTGGCAGTCTTGCTCAGAAGGGTCGTCATCTGTGGGTGAGGAAGGAGGTGATGAGTGGTGATCAGTGAAATTGTGTTATGATGCCTTGCTTGTAGTCCAAATATCAGACACCATGAATGTAGGAAAGGACCTTGATTCAATGTAGTGGCCTCTAAATTCACTACCCGGCAAGCTCTCCCCAGATCACCGAACAGAAAGGCTCACAGACCCCATTAGCATTCATTACAGGCTTTACCTGGGCTCCACTGCCATTGGGTCTGGGTTCAGTTCTGACTGCAGGTTTCCCAGCGCTGCTGCCATCTCTGTTAGGTTTCTCACCTGAAGCACAGGGATACTTGCAGCACCTATGTCATTGGACTGTTAGCAACACAGTGCCAGGTGTTTGAGCGGGTATCACTGTGAATGGAGGCATTTCCTACCGGCAGGCACAGATGGTAGACAGGGAGCGTCCCAAGCTTCTTGACACTGGCGAGTCACAACGGCCTCTGCTGAAGCACCACCAGTTACCTACAGAGGTTTTCTGTCTGTCATTCTCACGGCTGGTGTACTTTTGTTCCTATGATTTCAGTGGGGACAGAATTTAAATGGAGCCTCAGGGGTGGACAGTCTGTCCCTGCCCCAAAGATTGCTTCAGTTCAGCATCTGTGCCTGGAGCCTGTCCAGCCCCGTGGTGAGAACAGAGGGAGAGCATTTCAGGATAAGGCCACACCAATGACTCAAGAGTTCCAGACTAAGCCCCAGACTGCCCAGCGTCACCTCTAAGCGAAGGGAGCCAATTAAGAGAATGACTCAAAAGCCACTCACCAACATGTTCACAGTGCCGCCTGGATTTCATCGGGCCGACACAGAACAGTGTCACAGAAAGTTAGCAGTGGTTTTCAAACCCTTTTTTCCCTTGGTGGCGATGGTTGTGCAAAGACCTTTATTCAACAAGAGCTGATGCAGAATGCCAGTTGTGCTTCACCTTTGGCCTCTGAAGGATTTTCAGGAGCCTCTAGGGCAGGGATCCTCAAACTTTTTAAACGGGCCAGTACACTGTCCCTCAGACCCGTTGGAGGGCCAGACTATACAGATAGTTTAAAAATAAACTATGAACAAATTCCTATGCACACTGCACGTATCTTATTTTGAAGTAAAAAACAAAACGGGGCAAAAACACCCGGCGGCGGCCTGGATAAATATCCTCGGTGGGCCGCGGTTTGCGGACCCCGGCTCTAGGGCTCTGAAGAAAACACACTAGGTTGGCAGGTTTGGAGTGTTCCTTCCTGATCTGACATCTAGTCCCAACTCCTGAGTGCATGCCCTTGCTGCCACACTCACACTGGATTGCAGGTTGCCGGTTCAGAAATGGGTGGTTCAAAAAGTATAGCAGGGGATGAGCGTTCGGAAAAAAAGTGCAGTAGCCTAAGGCTTCTGGGTGGGACATCTGGGTGGGAGCACTTCCTGGGCCAGAAGCATTCCTGGATCAGTGGCAGGGCTGGGGACATCGACCATGGGGGGAAGGGGGCTGTTATATAGACGGGGAGGGGGGTGGGGGTAGTGGGAAGCCTCCAGGGACAAGCTCCTATCCTCGGTGCTTGGTCACGTGTGGGGCACTTTACAGATCTTACCTGCCCACGTGCCATGTTGGCTTAGAGTTGAAGATTGCATGAAAGTGTGAAGCCTTTCTGTTTTCTCTCGCAACAGCTCACAAAGAAAGTGAACAACATTGAGACAGGCTGGGCCTTGGGGGCCACCTTTCACTTGCTGCAGTCCCTGGACATCACCCACTAAGGTCAAGCACGTCACTGGGGCCTGCACTCCCAAAGGACCTTTTTCCAGGGTGGGGAGAAGACTCTTCCATGGTCAGGGAACAGCCTGCACTGAAGCCCAGCTGCAGGAAGGGCCTGTCAAGGGTCTTGCCCATGAGCCTGGAGATCTGAGTGGAATTCATTTCACACATCTCATGTGAACTGCTGCCTACCCCTGAGTGTACAGCTAGCGTCAGTCTAAACCTTGGAGAGCCCTATGAGCCAAAAAGAATAGCTGTAGAACTTGACCTTGGAGTGAGTGCCCCAGGACTGGTCCTTGGGAACCAAAGGAAAAAATCTCTCATTTTAACCCTCTGAGTGCCTCATTCCTTTGAACTATTTAATTTTCTTATGTGCTGACCGATGGCAATCTCATGATCCATCAATATCAGTGATTGTTTTTCTCTCCCCCGTTCTGCCCTGCCTCACTCTTATCTCTCCACCTACCCTATCTTATCTCCTACCCACCAAAAAAGATAAAAGAATGCCTGGTTTGGCTTTCTATGTACAATTCAAGGGGGTAGGGGGTGGGGTGGTACCACATAGAAGTTCCATGTGTGCCTGCGCTGCACTGACTCCTCCCATCAGCTAGGAGCTGTCCTAAATCTCAGCTGGATGGCACAGGCTAGGAGCAATGCCTGATGGTCTGAGCCATCTCTGGGGTCCTGTTCGGGGAGGGTGTGGTTGCCTTGTAATGACTGCCTTTTATTCAACTCTTTATCAACGATGAGTGAACCTATCTGATTTCAAAACTTAGCTAACCTCTGTCTGTGTGTGTGTGTCTGACTTCAAAACTTAGCTAACCTCAGTGTGTATGTGTGTGTGTGTGTGTGTGTGTCAGAGCCAGGCTAGCGTGTTTATACTCTTTGTGAGGGTCCCAAATATGTTTTAGAGGGTCGGTGAAGAGGAAGACCCTCAAGATGCATTGACACCGGGGCTGCAGCAGTGGGCTCACACACCATTGTGAGGAGGGCACAGGGCTGGGCAGTGCTTCCCTCTGTTGTCATTGGGTCACTATGAGTAGGAACCAACTCCACGGTACCCAACAACCCAACTGTCATCTTTGTGTTTGTAAGAAATACAACTGCAACGTGGCCTTTTGGTCTGCAGCTAAGGAGATTAATTTTGGTCATACCCCTCCTTGCAGCTTGACCTCTCCACCCACAGCAGTACCTCTTTCTGCCCCAGCTCCTCATCTTTGCTATATCCTCTGTTCAACGGTCAGGCTCCATGATTTCTGGGACCATTCTTGAGGACATCCACTCTGGCCCATTAGCACAGAGAACCCTACTTAATAGCTCCCAAGTTCCTTCATTGTATGAGTGCCCAGAGCACTTTACCTTGTGGACTGTCTCCCCCAAACTCATCTACTCTTTCCTCACTTCTAGTCTAGCCAGTGTCGTGTCCTTGACCCACAAGGTCTTCCTGCTGTCTGGCTCCTGTACCTTGCTTTCTTTCCAGGAGTCTCTCTCTTCACACACCCTGCCCTTCAGCCTGCTCACCAACATGCCAGGTGTGACTGTCCTTGGTGGGGAGCCTTTTTTGTCTCTTTTGAGTTAGTAAATATTTAACATCTGCTTTATGCAAGGTGTTAGGCAATTTACTTTCTCCTGTGCCTCCATATTTTAGTGGTGTTTGTTTTAAATCCAAAGTGAAGTGTGTTCAAGCGTGTCAGACTTACTACTAGGGCTGCCTGTTCCTCAGAAAGTTGCTAGTAAATAATGGAATCTCTAGCGATGGGAACAGCCTAAAGTTTCGTCTTCTACCCCACACCCCATTCCCTTAGCCTTTCTCGCAGGTGCCGCTCAGCTTGTTCTGGCCGGCTGTGTCAGACAGCTCCTTCCACTTGGCGCTGCACTGAGGGTCAACTGTTCCTACAGCAAGCTGCAGCCTACCGTCTTCCCAGAGTTTCACAGCTGCTCCAGCCCCTCGGTCAGCTGAAGAAAGCGCCCAAGTCCTTTGTGATCTTTTCTTTAACATATGTACAGCACGGATTCCAGACTCTTACCTTGTCCCTCAAAAAAAGAAAGGAAAGGTGCTAGGCCCATTCACCCCTCTAAATGATGCTGTTTCCTATGATTTAGAACATTTCTTCCAGAAATCAAGTTTTTTCTCCTGAGAGGTGGTCTTTCCCTGAAGACTTCAACTCTGGTAGTATTCCTTAGGCTTTATCACCCCAGCTCATCTGAAGCTTTTCTTATTTAAACAGCCACGCTTGCACAGTACACGTATTGTTTGTGACGGGGAGAGTTTGGGAGACCCCATTGGCCACCCGTCCTCCCTCCTGAACTCCTGGGGTAGATGCTTTCAACTCAAGAAAATACATCCAAACTTGAGTAAGCATTTGGTGAATTAACCAACAGCCATTTTAAGAACAGCTTGGAATGAGAATTTTAGAAATAGTTGTCCACTACATTTTTTCTGCCCTAGTGTATATACCCTGTGGATCTCTATTAAGGGTCCCCAAGACAAATTGCTGGTTTGTTTCCTCCCTGTAAATGTTGTTTCCATATTTTAAATTCTTAGGGCCTAGCGTGGCCTGTCTTCATGTTATATGAAGGACATTCTCGGGCTATGGAGGTCCTTGCAAGTTGTGCCTTAAAATACCCACTTTGCCTGATATCTAGCTTGCCTCCTCTTGGGGAGTCTTATTTTTTGGGGAAAGGTGGCCTTTTTCAGCAATGACCTCCCTTACCAGTAGTCACACAGCTTTTTAGGGGAGCTGACAGCTTTTGTGTTGGGCAGTTCTTCCTGAGCTTCCCGCAAAGGGGGTGACACTGTCACTTTGTACTCGAGCATCTTATGAACGTCTACATTTGCCTGAAAAGCTTCCCAGCAGTAACAAGACTTCTACACAATCTCACAGACTACTCTCGAGGAGAGCTTACGGGGTTAAAGCGAGTGCTCACAGTGCGTCTTCAGCTCAGGCTTGGAGGCCCCTTCGGCACAGGGTGCACGGAGGGCTCTTCAAGAAGCACCTCCGGGACTGTGACGTGAGCTCTGTCGAAACCCCAGCAGAACGTGGCCTCCTCCAAGCTGCCATCCATCATGAGCAAACACTGCTCCTAACCACGTCCTCCCTCGAGACCTCTGCGTCCCGAGGTCTTTGAACACACACAGTGCGATTTTTAATACAGTACAACAGCGGTATCCCAGAGGAACCATAAATTAAATTGAAATCTGATGCTGTGATGAAGAAGCAAACAAGCATTACGATTTTGCCTTTTTGTGATGAGATGTAAGAGTCCCCAATAAAAGTATTTAATTAAAAAAAGTTTGCCTTTTCAGAAGCTCCAGTGCACATGTAACAAAGATTAAAGTAATTTGTATTTAATTTGCATTCTGATGTAAATTTTTAAATGGCTATTCTAACAGCAAATGCATTCACTGCATATTTCTAATTCTTGCATCTATCAAGAAAAAAACGATCAAAGTCTCTTCCTCAAAAAGGACTGTTATTAAGTGAAAATAAATGACATAGTACCTTGATTTAGTAATAAAAAGGCTGTTTTAAACCAAATCGTGAGTCTTCCTTTGGGCATTTTTTCTGCTTGGTTGATAACACCCTCCTCACAGCTAATTTCCCCTCATCTGGGCACTGCAGGCTCACTCAGCAGAGGAGAAAGACGGGAAGATTCTAACGGTAACTTATTAAATTGACTCTTGACAATATGCAAGATGGTACTGGAGCGGCGTGTTCTTTTTTTCATCAAGATGCCCAGAAGAGAAGCCCTCACTGGCTTGCGAAGGCCATGATTTGTTCCTGGAGAAAAAAAGGAGACAAAGGTGAGATGCCTCACACATCTGCAGGACCCAAGGAAGGCAAGCACAGACAAGTCCCTGGCAGGCAGTATCCACAAGTCCCAGGGGAGAGTCTCCTAGCCTTCAATGGGAGTTTCTCAGCAAAAGGCGTTTCAGTATCTTTAAAAGTCCCTATGTGCCATCTGAAAACCCTTCCTACATATAAAGGCAATGCTGAGGTGTGGGCTCTCACCAACAAGCCCAGCAAGTACTCTTTTTATTCTCCTAAGCACTGAAGATGGTACAGAGGAAGACGATAATTTTACAGCCAAGAAAATGAGTGCGGTAAGACTGAGCTGTCTGCAAATCTTTCCTTGGTTAGCAAGCAGGAATCTTGGCGAGCCAGGAGGTACTCCTTACTTTGAGTGGAGACACGGCATTTGTGGCCTGCAGGCCCCACGTCCTTAGCAGCACGAGAGGAGCGGCACTGGTGGAGTAGAGCCTTTTGAGTAAGTCTGTCGCGGCTAGAAGAGCAGTGTTGTGCCTTTGTCTGTCTGTCTCATAGCCTGTCAGGTGGCTCATGCCGCCTGAAAGAGAAGAGGTAGCTCCTTCATCCAAATCCTGGAAAGCCAGGTGTGTTGTCGGGCCACCCCCCTGGGCATTAGGAGGGCCATTTGGGGTCCTGGTCATTCCTGTTTGACCTCTGGATATTTCTCTAAGGTACCTGGAGCCCTTACCCAAATCTTTCCCGTCGAAAGCTGCCATACTGAGGTGATGGGCCAAGCTGGAGACGTCCCCAAAGCCCATGTTGACACCTTGTCCTGCAAGGGGATGGACTCGGTGGGCTGCATCCCTACGGATAAAGCCATATTCAGGGGGTCTCCAGCACACAGGGAGGAGGGGGCAGCCCTCTGTGATGTCTTACCCAATGAGCGCCACCCGAGGCCGCACGTACTCCGCAGCATGCCCCAGCCCGAGAGGAAACAGCACCCGGCTTGTGGCTTCCACCCTGGCCACACTTGGGGGCAGCTGGCGAGCTGAGACTTTGGTGGGCTTCAGAAGACCAATAGCCTGTTGCAGTATGGTGCCAGCCGAGTCAATGAAGTCCGTGTGGTTAGCATCACTCCACTAAGCAGCAGCCACAAAACAAGGTAAAGGATGATCAGCATGACATGAGAACTCAACAAAGCCCCTTTTATAACCAAAGCACTTAATATGCTGACACAGAACTGGACGGTCAACGGTAAGTCCTCGAACAAATGCAACCCACACTGCCATCACTCCCCACAGTACTCCGGGTCAGCTCAACAAGGTTCCAGAGTTGGCCCCGGCCTCATTCCAGCTCACCCTCCCTAACTCCTCACCAGCCCGGTGTAGCTCCATGTGCTTAGAATGCTCACCCACATGTATTTCACTATGCAAACACCTGAGCAGCCACATGTTACTGCTCTGAACACTTACTGTATATACTCGAGTATAAGCCAACCCGAATATCAGCCAAGGCACCTAATTTCATGACAAAAACTATAAAACTGTTGAAAAACTCAGCTTATACACGAGTATCTACAATATTCACAACCCTCTTCTCCCACAGCTGTTTTTGTTCCCTCTCTGTCACTGCTGAATGGTCATTCAAGCATCTCTCGCCGTCAGTCGAGTAGGAACTTCCAGAGGGGACTGTGTCTCGTTTGTCCATCTCCAGAGCCTGCTGTGCAGATGGCATTCCGAGTTGCTAAGTGAAGACTGCAGAGGTCCGCAGTCTGGGCCATGAACATGTGCTAAGTGACCCTGAGAAGGAGGGTCAGGATCTCGGTTTGGGTTTGTCCAGAGCCCTGGGGCCCAAGGTCTTTGCTGAAAGTTGGGTGTGAAACCATTCATGAAGTAGAAGAGCTTGGGGGTTTTAAGGGCAGGCTCCAGGGCCAGCTTGACTCCCAAATCCAGCATTGCCACTAGCTTAATGATCCCAGGCAAATTACTTAGTAACTAAATGCAAATAATAGTACCTACCACAAAGGTTTACAGAACTAAATTTAAAAATCCCTATAGAAGTCCAACAATCTGGCGCACAGGAAGGACAATGTCAGAGTGGATTAGTGGCAGTCAGGCGAATCGAGGAGCCCTGAGGTGCAGTGTCACACACCGAGCTGCTAAACGCAAGCTCAGGTTCGAGAACACCAGCCATAGCTCGGGAGCAGGGAGCCTTTTACTCCTGTCAAGGTTTATAGTCTCAAAACCCACAGGGGCAGTTCTACCCTAATCTATAGGGTCCCTTTGAGTCGGATTAGACTCGATGGCAGTGAGAGTTTTTGTTTTTTGGTTCTGAGACAAAATCTGCTGTGCAGCCTCTTGAAAATGTTAGAAGAGCCAGCATGTCACTTTGAGAGTGGACATGTGCCTGACCATGGCATGTCCAGGCACCTCAGGTGCAGGGGAAGCTGGACAGGGCTGCGAAGACTACAGAAGAAACGGTGCATGCGGATGATGGTGTGGGAATGCTGCAGACCGCCACCCCAACAGACTGATCTGTTGGGGAAGAAGTACAGCCAGCGCGCTCCTTAGAAGCCGGGAGGGGAAACCAAGACTCACGTCCTTTGGAGATGTCACCAGGAGAGGCCAGTCCCTGGGAGAGGTCACCACGCTCAGCAAAGTGGAGGGGCAGTGAAAAGAGGCAGGCCCTGACAAGATGGACTGACAGAGTGGCAGCAACAACGGGCTCAAACATCCATTGCGAAGATGGCGCAAGACCAGCCGGTGCTCCGTGCCGCTGTTCTTAGTCGTGGTCGGAACCTTCCCAAGGGCACCGACACCAGCAAAGCCAAACAGAAATCTGGTGCCCGAATTACCTAACGGCTGCGTACAGTCATGACCACTGGCCGAGCATCCAAAATGTTCCCGGCAATTTTAAGTTTCAAACTTAAAAAGGCCACCACTACCCACAGCTTGGACAACTCTTGTCAGCCCACAACCCTCAGAACAAACAAACCCCATCAGCACAGTTCCCCCCTCCTCCATGTAATCCAGGTCAATCCACAATCTCAAAGGGGCAGCTGCCGGATTGCTGCGGCTCTTTCTACTCAGAACCCCGTGTCCAACCCTGTCTCCATAGCGTCGGCTGCACAGCTCGATACTCACAAAAGCAGAGTTAATGGCATCCACAAACTGTTCCTCGTCCATGCTGACCAGCTCTGCCGCGTGCTCATGGGACGTCGACCAAACCAGGGAACTCAGGGTGTCCGAAAGCTGTGTGGAAAGCCGAGCATCAGGAGGTGCCACACTCTTCTGTGCTTGAGCGCCCTCCAGCCTGGGCAAGCTCCCTTGAAACAGGCTGAGAGCAGAGTCCTGAGAGAGGAAGGCTGGAGGAGAAAGCCCACTAGCCAGAAGGGCCTCTTACCGGGAGCAGAGCAATGGGCCCAGAGGGAAGAAATCTCTGCCAAGCGACGTCATTTTCTGCGGCCTGTGTGAGACAAGAGCAGCATGGTGGTGAGAAATGCCTGGTGCTCACCAAACAGGAGCAGGGTCCCCGGATGGCAGGCTCAGGAGCTTACCTCTGATAAATGCAGAGTCGCCACAACAGCAGACTGGTCATAGTTCCAGCTAACGTTGGGGATCCCAGCAGCCTGCCGTACTCCCGAGTTGTGACCGTCTGCGCCAATCTGCATGGAGACGGGGGCCTGCTAAGTCTGACAGCTTCTTCACAAATGAACTGCCCCATGTGTTGCTCTCTGCTTCCTAAGGCTTGGGGGGCAACTTTTTATCCTGCCAGCCCCACTCATAGCTTCTAGTGGGATAATCCTACTGAGGGGACCCTAGAAGTTTCAGCCTCGGGCCAGCACCGTGGCAGGACCGAGCTGCCCTACGGTGAAACAGGACGCTGGTGAGCAGAGAGAGCAAGGACTGGGAGGTGGACGAAGAGGAGGGACTTGGGAAATTTAAGGTGGAGAAAGAGCAGCCTCAATTCCCAGCATTCTGGCTTGTTTCTGTGAGGTCCAGCTCCTCCCTACTTCATGCCCTAAGTTGGTCCATGAGATTGCTTCCTGCATGGAGTTTGCAACAACCCACTTTAGCTTGGGCTGGGGCTGGAGTGGGTCCTGGTCCCTCTAACCAAAAGCCTGGCCTCAAGTAAGCTTATACATTATAGCTTAGGCTTAACACTGGAGGCCCTGGAGTCTAGGATAGAATGTGGTTATGCAAGAGCCCTGGCAAAGACGAGAAGCTTTAACTACCAACAATTTGGTCTGGAGGGTGCTGCCATCACTGAGGGTGATTTGAACCCACGGGCTGGAGTCCACCATGGGAAATGGGGCAGGCCGGGTGTAGCCTACAGCCTTGCTCCGGTAGAGAACCGTCACTCGGTCTGTGGAGGTCAGAAGAGAAGCAGCGACATGTTAGACAGGTGGCCCACACAGGCTGAGGAGAAGCTCTAACTCAGCAGTTCTCAACCTTCCTAATTCTGCGACCCTTTCATGCAGTTCCCCATGTGATGGTGACCCCCCAACCATAAAATTATTTTCGTTGCTACTTCATCACTGTCATTTTGGATACTACTGTTATGAATCAGGTGACCCCTGTGAAAGGGTCGTTTGAGCCCCAAAGGGGTCGCGACTCACAGGTTGAGAACCACTTTTCTAACTAAACCTGAACCCAGGTCCCAGCATACCTGTCTCTTGTCACTCCCTTCGAAACAAGAAAAATAAAATCTAAAAAATAATGCATGTGGTCTGTGCTACAGCTGAGAGCTGATAATGACAGAACTACAGATGAACTGGTACCAAAAAAAAAAAAAAAATCACTTGAGCTCGCAGTGCGTCACCAGCCTGCACCAGGCCCCCTGTGGGTCTCCGGCTCCTCTAGTTTCAGGCCAGGCCTACATGCACCCATGGACCTTCAGTGCGGCTTGAGGGGTGGAACGCCACGGGCTCAGACAAGCGTGTAATTGCAGAACTTTTTCATTCCCACGGGAATTCATTTGGTTACTGTGGTCATCAAAATAATCTCCTTATTATAATAGTATTGACAACAATGAAAGGTTTCTAGGGGGAAATCCCTTACCTGTGCAGAGACACCTAGTTAAAACTCAGATGTGGAACCTTCCGGTGTCTTCCTCTACGTGTCTAGCTCACGCATGCATTAGATCACATGACTTTAAAAAAAACCCAACATAGTATGAGACACTGTCTTACGCTTCTACTCAGGAGAAATGAAAATGCCCATCCCCATTGAAACTCACAGATGACTTGTCACAGCACCATCTGTAAGACCCCCAGAGTGGACCCTACCCAAATGGCCATCAATGGACGAGCAGACACACACAAGGTGGTGTCCATACAATGGAACGCTGCCCATCGGGGACGAGGAATAAAGTGCTGAGCAAGTGGCCAGGCCTAGTGATTCACTGGCCTACAGGTCCTGATACATGAAACAGCACCAGTGCATCTCAAGAAGGCTCTGACCAGTCAGAAAAGCCCGTCAGAAGACACACGGTCCCACTGGTCGGAGACACAAAGTCCTTTATCGGTTGCTTGCCTGAGGCTGGGCGTGGGGACAGAAAAAAGCAGGCAGCTGGTTTCTCTTGCGACAACAAAGACGTTCTCACATTATATTGTGGTTATGGTGACACCACTAGGCCAACGCACTAAAAATCACTGAATGGCACACTCAAAGTTCACCTGATTTTTATGGTCTTTCAGTTATACCTCAATAAAAGGCACAAAGGACGACCCTGAGGTAACCATCGGAGGATTTCTGTCCACGTGCCGCCACCATCACTAGTGGCATCAGGGTCAGCCTGACCTCCCCGCGAGCAACAGGAAGAGGGGGCTCACCAGACACGGCCTCCAGCTGCGTGGTGAGAGCATGCAGGATGACATCATTCTCCACGATATAGCCCATGTCCTCCAGATTATCCCTATCAAACATTATCAGGGCCTCTGAGCAGGCGTCCCACACCTGCAAGCGCAAAGGGAACATTTCCATTACAGTCCAAGAGAGAGGCAATGCATTTCCGCTAGTCAGAAATCAAGTCCTGCGTTCCCGGGTGGCAGCAGAGGAAATCTCAGTTTGTCAGGCCTTCTGGCAGGAACCACAGGGGGAGAAGTAATGTTGCCCCCTCACCCAGTGACTAAATGTGAGCTGTCCTCCCACAGCCACAGAAAACCTGGGCCTCCTTTCCCTTAACACTGCAGACCACCTCGCCCAAAGCACAATCAAGGGGAAGGAGGTACCTGCATCCGCCGGAAGGCTCTGTGTCTCATCTTACTGATGTGGTCCCAGGCACCAAAACCTGGCAAAAAAAAAAAAAGGCTCTACAGACCAGAGTAACCTCATGGGAGCCAAGTCTCTATTGGGTTTCTGATGGTCCTGCAATCATGTTAAGTAACAGGTGGCTTTCAACTCTCCCCAACAACAGGAACATGCTGCCCAATTTTATCCTGTTTAAAGCCAGCAGCCCAGTTCTAGGTTGCAAAGCAGGAATGAAACGCCACCTTTCATGAACATAAGATGAAATGTGAGGATCCCAGAAAGGAAAACCACACCCATCTTTGCCCATCGCCTTCATCGCTGTTTCCACTCGCGACGCAATTGTAACTTTACAAACAGGAGATGACAGAAACTCTGGAGAGTTTCATCTCTCTACAGCACCGATCATTTACAATTTTGGAGAACATAGACATTTTCTGAGTACCAGCTAGGTACCAGATAAAATTCCAGGTACTAGGCACAAACTGGAAAACCCAAAGCTTCCAAATGGTTCTGCCTGAGCCAGTCACAGCCAGCAAAGCAAAACTGGAAGCGAGCAGAATTGCAAAATGTGGTGCTATCGGAAGGATAACCAGAATGGGAAAAACAGCTGGTCAAAACCCTACCAGAAAGGTGAGGTCCTTTTAGAAAACAAAGGCCACGTGACGTGTGTGGTCATCAAATCTGGAATCACTGCGAGGAAGCGTTGCTGCCTGGCCTAAAGATGGTGGCCAACCGCACAGCTCAGGTGTGCTGCTCTGTACAGTCCTGCTAATGATCCTATTTCCCGCCTCAGGGTCCTGGAAGATTCCCTATGCGTCACTAGTCTCCCATTCCCCATTCCAGAACTCTGACTCATCATTTTAGGGGTCCTGGTCTTCAGTTAGGCACTAGACCACTAAACCTGGCCCTCCACCCTTACCCAAGGACCCCCCTCCCCCCCACCAGATGCTCTGTGAGGACCACGGGAAAGCCATGGAGAAAGGAGACTGCTTCTAAGAGCAAAGATCTACTCACTACTGAGAAGGGTTGCAGAGCCGGGAGAAATGGAGCTAACCCTGTTGCTGTAAGTTTCTGGCAATTTCTCCATTACTTTTTTTGGACCTCCTTCTAGCAACAGGATTTTCTTGTCACGGAAGTGACTATCATATCCTACAAACAAACAAAAGAAACATGTTAGTTACATCATTAGGACAACCGAGAGTTCCCTTTCCCACAGTCGAGAGAAGTCATCAGTGCTCTGACCCTTCTCCTCACTACCTGCCACTGAGTCCATTCCAAGTCATCGCAACCTTATCGGACAGGCCAAACTGCCCCTGTGGGTTTCTAAGATTGAAACTCTTTACGGGAACTGCAAGCCTCATTTTTCGCCCATGGAGTGGCTGGTCTTGAACTGCTGACTTTGAGATTAGCAACCCAGTGTGTAACCACACCACCAGAGCTCCCAGCTCTCTAGCCCTGAGGACATGAACCCAACAAACAGATGCCACCATTTCAGCAACACGAACCACGGTTTCAGGGCGTCTCCATACCCTACACACACCATGCGCAAGGATGCACAGACTGGCACAATTCTCAACCAGGGGCGTGCCCTAGGAAGGAAAGAAGGAAGAAAAGGAGGTTTCCTGCATGTGTGACCAGGACTTCCTACTCATTCTTACAGAGCAGCCATTACTAGTTGTTTGTGCTGCGGAGCATTGGGAGTGGACCTCACCCTGCTGGAGGAAGCCTGCCTTCCAGCCCCATCACCCCTTCTCAACTAACCTGTCTGACCTGAACCCTCCCCTCTCCTGTCCTCCCCACAGAGATGCCAGTTCATTCTGCCTCTTCTTAGTTATTTACAAATTTCCTTCCAACTCTAGATTCTAAATTCCTGGGATGACGGTGGGGTGGCAGGAACCATTTTTTTATGGTTAAAATCCTCAGCAGTCAATTCTGCAGCTCCTCAGTACAGAACAGCTAGCATCTAGTAGTGAGAGGCCAGGAACGGAACACAGAAGAAGGCTTCCGAAGACCTTAGAAATATAGCCAGGTTAACCAGCTCAGCTAACTAGGTTAGCTGTTAATATAACACTTAAGAATGCATCTGGAGGACAAAACACTGAGCAAATACAGCTGGCACCGAACAACGTGAGAAGTAGATGCTTCAAACCTCAAACCGAAAGGGAGCTTGAAGAAAAGACTCAAGGAAGCAGAGCTGAGTTAGAAGGCCTCTTAAGAGCCAGCTGGAACATTCTCTCCTTGAAAGCAGAAGTCTAAAATAAGTGGAGGTTGACATGAAAGTAAAGGTCAACCTGGGCATGCACACCGGACACCAGCAACATGACATCACATATGCGCCGGACTCTCAACCACTAAGAACGGCCCATGGTGGCACACTGAGGACTTGGTAGAATGTCTCTGACCTTATTTCTATACTCCTGACCACAGACTTAGAAAACTAGCCCTATTTTGAGAGAGATCTTCATTATTCTGAGATAGGAATGTTTTCAAATACACATTCTCCAGGCCGAAAGTGTGCCCCGACCCCCCACCGCCTGCAATCGCTCCCCATTAAGGAGCAGTCGTAAAGGAGGTCCTGTCATAACTCATCATTCTGTGTCTGGCTACTTCGCTGTGCCTGACGGTTAACTGTGGCTAAGAGCAATCAGGTTCTATAAGCAACCCACCATCAAACATAGCAAACCCTTCTGATGTCCTCTTCAGACCTGGATCACAGCCTGCTCCCCTGGGGAGGGCTCAGGGGCGTTGGAGGTCAACTAGCACTAGGTCAGGAGGCTGACTCACCTCACTGCTGGTTTATGGTGTTACCCACTTCTGATATAACCCAAAGATTATGTGATGTTTGCTGTATGACGCCTATGCCTTTTGAAAGCTCTGTAAGCCCATTGTATGTGCCCACCGGAAAATGCATTCACTCTCTTGGTCCTGGCACAGGCACAAGGAACCCCTGTGCGCCCCTTAAAATGCTTTCCGGTCTATGAGATCCAGGAGAGGTGAATAGATAGAGATAGGAATTGGAATCACGGCTTATTGTGCATGTGGGAAGGGAAATTGGAGAGAAATGGGGCGCTAGTAGCAATGAATACAAGGAAGAAAGAAAATGTTCAGGAACTCGTTGTGGTGCTGATTGTGCAATTCTTTTTGATATGACCTAACTTCTGAAGTTCATGATATATGACTTATATGTCAATAAAAGTATTTTTTAAAGCATGCTTTATATAGTTACTTTGAGACTCAAGCCCATTAAAAACCTAAAAACCACCCCAATTGCCATCAGGTCAATTCTAACCACACTGACCGCACAGGACACTGCGTCCTAGGGCTTCCAATGCTATAAATCTTTATGGGAGGTGAGAGCCTCATCTCTCTCCCTTGAAGCGGCTCATGAGCTCAAAGAGCTGACCTTGCAGTTAGTGGCTCCACATGTAAGCCACTACTCCATCAGAACTCCTTACCACCTACCGCCAGGTGCTTCCATAGCTTCCAAACAGTCCCCTGGGAGTCACCCCAGAAAAGATGTGGCAGTCCCAAGATACTGAAATCAACAAAAGCTTTCACCCCATTGTTCCTATTACATGGATTTCTAACTCCTGGTGCCCCAGGACAGAGTAGAACTGCCCACAGGGTTTTCTTTTTTTTTTTT